TTTGTGCTCCGCTTTTCCCATGGGGGGGGTAGTTAACTTTTAAAATGTTCCGTTTATTTTGAACTCACGTTCATTGTCAGTAATTTCTCTGACCTCGCTCACAGTAAACTATATTCCGCTCGATCTCCAGCGCTTGTCCAGGTTGAAACAGCTTGTGCCTCAAGGCCACACAGCGGCAGGACCGTCAGGGTGGAGGGAAGCCTCAATTCTTCGGCATTTAGCCATCGAAGAGGCTGCCCCTCAAAGTCCCTATGGCCTGGAGCCTTTTGCAAAGGCTCCGTGTGAGTGCTACTTGAGGTAGCACCCCTCCATACCGCTGGTGTGCAAGTCACTCCCCCGGGTCCGGGGAGCATGACCGCCATCGCTGATCCACAAACCAGAAGTCCTCCTAATAAAACTTTCAACCAAAAAAATGTGTGTGAAGAGTGACTTGACTGGGACACTGACACTGCATTATCCTTATAATTGTCCTTAATCGCCAGAAGCACGTTTTGCCTCCATCATGGCCCTTTCAAGGGAAGAAACCATCAAAGCCCTTTCAACTCATGGAAAAGTCCTAAGCAGGGTCATTTTCCCCCTTCAAGATTCAAAGCTCTCTCAAATGGTTCTATGACGCCATAACTCACTTTATTCAATCAGCACAGGGTGATCATGCATTCAGACAGTAGCTGAAAGCAAGGGAGTTTGCTCCTTGTATGCAGTTTTAAGCAGCTAAGGTTCCTTTGTCCAAAGCTACTTTTAAATTCTATGTCAGCTTCAAGACATTTTAAACTTGTAACGTAAGGGCTGAACGTTCTGCCAGTACCTTGGCAAGGAAACCAGCCCTGTCTAGAAAGCAGATGAAAACACTGATGATTTCTGACCTGAAATCATTATGTCTTCTGCAGGATGGTTCTCAACAACAAATATGCAATTTACATATTAAGAATCTCCAAACTGAAAATGAAATGTAATATATAATTTAGCCTTTTTGCTGTGTAGAGATCTATGGGCACCAAGTCACTCAGTTTAAGTAAACACACACCCAAGCCACAAATGCAAAATACTCTAGATAGTAGTAATCAAGATCATTTATTGTGTGTGAATACTCACTAGATAATGGGAGGGAGGGCAGGATATAATTCAAATAAATCAAATAAAATAAATGTATTCTTTTTGAAAATAACTGAGCCACCAACTGAAAGCCTGATTAATGTTGTCAACTATGAAAAGTTCCAATTTAAGTTAATATTAATTTGCCCAGTGATGGAATAGTAAACTAATATAAAAATAGCCAATAGTCAAAGGAATTCATTGGACTTCAAAGACATATTTGGGGATTGCCTCAGTAATCCAAGCATACTGAGGAGATGCATCTAATTCAGAACGATGCCATAGAGATTAATAGAACCACAAAATGGAGCTATGGAAAGATGGGGGGGATTTCTCTGCGAACCTGGAGAAAGTCCCAGGTATAATACTGCTGATCCCTCTAAGCCATGGTTTCCATAAAGCAAAGCCCTTGAGGGAGCACTTGAAGGTCAAAACTGCCCTGCAAAGGTCCTGTTCCAACTCCTGTCATGTCCCCTGATGGAGATGTACTTGGTGGGGACAGGCCCAGCCTCTGGCACCATGCAACTAGGCCAGACTGTGCCTGGGGAGAGGCTACCAGGGAAGGGAAGGATGGAAAGCTGAAGGTGAGTGGGGGGGGGGGGGGGAGCAAATAAAAGTAGGTTATCTGGTGGGTGAGAAGGAAGCAGGAAAATGGGAGAGGCTATGGGAGCTTTCAGGAAAGGGGAGGAGGAAATAATTATGGAGGCAAACATGAGATACCCCCCAGCACATGTTCCTGTGGGTCTCCTGTTTGTATTTGCTAAGACTCAGTGAGATGACAGGATATTTATTACCTTCCCACCCTAAAATTATTTCATTAAATTATTTAAAAGGTTCAGTAGAAGCAGTGAATCTAGACTTAATAAATTTGCTTAATACAACTAAAAGGTGTATAGCCGCATTAAGAAAAAGATCAGAAGACCCAATGGTCTCAGGGTGGTTCAAGAAAAATATGGGTGGCTATTACAGGGATAAACTAACATGCTATAGTAATAATAGAACAGAGAATGAGGAGTTCTCCCTATTTACTGAAAATGACCAGAAGCAGTTGTCCCAAGTGGGAGCAGAGTGCAGTTGTTTTGGCTAGCAGCAGCATTTTCCTAGCTGCAAAAATAGTGGGGAGTTGGAAGAAGTTGCCCAAAAAGTACATTGTTGTTGTGGATTAGGCTGTTTTTCTTTTCTCTTTTAAAATAAATATATAACATTCTGTTACAAGATGGAACAGGAAAGATAGTTTCATATTATCCAAAAATTCATTATTCCAGTACATTATAATCAGTAATCATCTTGTAACAATCATGTTTTATTCTCAGACATACCGTTTCCTTATCCTACCCACCCAACCTCCACATTCTTTCCACATTCTGATTTAAAAGGCTGACTTAGCCAATCATTTCAAGGCATTGTGTGTTCAAAGTTCTTGCTCTTGGATCAGACTGCTAGTCAACACTAGCGTCATAACAAGTACCTACATTCTGGATAGTTCTCTCTAATGACCTCATCTGCCTCACAAGTCTTAGTCTTGACCATCAAACCACTCTACAGCAAAATTCTGGCGATGCACTGGTGGTGGTGGCAGGATATTTTGACAGTGCCAAGGCCCATTCCATGCTCCATGAAAAAAGGATGTTGTCACCAACCTTATCTCTCCTTATATATAACATAAGCCAACCTCCAGGCGGCACCTGGAGATCTCCAGCTATTACAACTGATGTCCAGATGACCAAGATCAGTTCTCCTGGAGACAATGGCTGCTTGGGCCAGTGGACTCAATGGCATTATACCCTGCTGGGGTCCTTCCCCACCCCTTCCCTTCCCAGGCTCTACCCCTCAAATCTACAGGTATTTCCCAACCCAGAGTTGGCAGCCCTGTAACTGGCTATGGAACTGCTTTCCAGACCCTTGGAACCCAGAAGACATGGCATAGGAGGAGGTGCTTTTCTACCTTAGCTGCCCCTGCATAACCCCAAATCAACATAAGTCGGGGTGGAGGGAACCATACCTGTTACCATGAGACTGTCCTCCCATATAGCTAAGCAGAAGGAAATAAACACGGCTTGCCTCCCTCTATTTTCCCCTTCCCTCTCTCGCCCCACCAGCCACAGCCCACTCACCTGGAGCTTCCTTCTAGAACTCATTGTATTTCTTCCCACAACGAGCCTTACTCCTAGTCTGTTCATAAACTCCAATTTATCTGTGTTCACCTGCCATGTGGTGACCAGAAGCAGGTACAATGATGCAGATTTGCAGAATATATTCCTGCCAAGACCAACTTTAATACCAACAACAACAAACAAAGAAAAACAGTACCTTTGCTGCAGTCCCCTATGGACACCACCAACAACAAAGAAGAACAGTACCTTTGCTGCAGTCCCCTATGGCAGCTTCTTTCTTGTCCTTCAAAAGAAAAGATGACATTTAATATTTATACCATATTTAGGGATCTGAAATCTGATCAAACCTGAAAGTGAGATTTACAGGATAAAAAAGGCTACCAGACTCCAAGGAAAGTGACAGTCCGTAGAACAAACTGTAGGGAACTGCCAGGGAACACATTTCAGAAAGACTTGTGCGATATGTTCTGGTTGTCTTTCCTCAGAGACACAAAGAAAGCCAAAGGGCAAAACTAACCCAGTACCCTTTGCCTAGTTAATACGTAGCAATACTAACCTTGCTGTCTGGCCAGCTTTTATTTACCCAAAACAGTGGGCTTTGTTTACTCAATTCAGCATTAGTCCTATATTCTCCCACAAGCACTTGTACCCTACTGAGCAAAACCATCCCCAGAGAACAAAATGGAACCAGTGCCTTGAGTTGTAAAATACGCCTGCATCTAGACCTTGGAGAGAATAAATGCGACAGTCATTACAGCAGTTCTTGCTGCTTCACAGTCCTGGGAATGAGTTTTACCTGTTTCATTCTGGCTGCAGCTCTGTTTGAATACAAAACAGATCTATCTGTGCTGTAGCAGGCTGGACAGACTTTCAAGGCTTTTGCATAAGAATCTTCAGCTTCTTCGTATTCTGAAGGTTAAATGAAGAGTTGTGATGAAAAATACTAAAGTGATGTCCAAGAAGTCATACTAGTAGTACATTTCTTACAGCATTGAGCTAAGCATTAACCATAACACATACAGAGTTATAAAAATCTAACAATTCATACTATAAAAATCCTTAGCATCAATTTCTCCCTCCAAATTATAACTGTTCTCCAAAATGTGTACTGATGGGGGGGGGAGAGACACAGCAATGCAGGAACAAACAAAATGTTACTACTTTTTAGCATTACGATATAAATACTTGCATTTCCTTCATTTGATTTGAAAAGCTGTGCTGTTCTTTTTTAAGCAAGTATGTCACCATTATAAAATTTCTGGAGAGGCTTGGAGGGAATTAAATTTATATGATACTGTAATATTAACCTTAAATTTATGTTTAGTGTTTTAATGTGAAGCATTTTTCATTTACTTGGCATATACAGTTGTACTACTTGGCATATTTATTAAACTTTAAAGCACAAATGCCTTAGCTTTTTATAACCCAGGATTACAGAGATCTGTGAACTGCTGCACCTCATGCTATTTAAGCGCACGTGTTTTAATTTTTGCCCTCTGAGAGGAAGGAAAACTAGAAACTGAAAACAAGAGAGAGAAATTTTGTACTAAACAAATGAAAGTAATACGAACAGAAAGCATATCAAACTGTCACAACAGGTCTTGCAACGTATTTGAATATCTAGTTAATGACAATGAAAACAAGACATTTCATAGGAGGGGCTTTTTGGTGCTTCCCAAAAAACCCAATTTTTCTGTTGAAAATGGGTGTATTGTCCCTCTACCCTGTACTTTTCCTAAGAAAGTTTCTGGCGTTTTACCCAGGCCTTTTACAACTTTAGTCAGTATATGACCTTTTAAAAAGTAAATCAGATGCAAGACAAATTTGTAACATGAAATCTTTATTTGTAGTCAGACATTAGATACTATACAAAGAAAATGTACATGATACCAAGAGAAAAAAATATGGTGTAGGATTTGGATTCCTCTGCTTCATTTTAGATTAATGACCTCTGTGACCTCCCAATAAGGACAGCCTGAATCAGACACAAAATTAATACCAGCCAGTGGGAGAAGGCTTGCAGAATGCTGAAGTAGTAGTTTCTATCACACACACACACACAAAGATCTTATTGTCTGTTTAATCAAAGTTGGAGACACAGTTAAGAGACATTATCCTGTGGCTTCCAGGAACAGTATTATCCTGATTAAGAAACTGGAACATCTCCTGAAAAACCACAGAACTCAGAAGTTCCTACTTACAGGATTAAGACTGTGCAGAAAAATGTGTCTCAATTTTTGAACTAAGTGAATTTAAAGAGGATTTCAAAGAGGAGGGGGCCACGGCTCAGTGACAGAGTATCTGATTTGCACACCGAAGGTCCGAGATGCCAAGCCTCGGCACCTCCAGTTATAGGATCTCATAGCAGGACATGGGAAAGACCTCTGCTATACCTTGACAGACCAAGAGTTCGATTCAGATGGGAAAGACCTCTGCTTAAGATCCCGGGGAGCCACTGCCAGTCAGCATATACACAATATACCTTGACAGACCAAGAGTTCGATTCAGTATAAGGTAGCTTCATGTGTTAAACACAGTATGTGTACATTTATTGCTCAACGGTAGGTTTACCAAGACATTTCTAGTTGCTGTCTGATTTGATTGTTCCTGTGTGCTTGTAAAAGGTAATTCATATATTTTCAACCAGGATATAAGGCACTGCAAAAACACATAAATTCATTCAACTATTCTCCCCAGCATACCACTTTTGACTGAATCTCACTAGACTATCTAAGGCACCAGAAGTCCCTGTTTGCTTGCCTTTTTCTGATTAAAACTTTCCAACAAACATCAGAATAAAATATTTACAGGACACCTAAGTTTCCATGTGTACTTATCAAAGGTCTTTGTAACAGAATACCTTAGTGCATATTACTTGTGCCTCTCTGCTTATGCAGCCTGAAGCTGGTATTTAAAAGCACCTGTAGATTATGCAGCTGAAGCGCTTCAAATAAAACACTACATATTTATTTTTGAAGCCAAACCATAGCAGAGTGAGCAAGGCACAGGGAACTTTCTTGAGTCCCCACCCCCTATGCTGATTTTCCATCTGGCGTCTGCCTATGCACTTAAGATGAGTAGCAGTTGCTGCCAAGTCAGCCACAGTGCTTGCCTATCTTTTCAAACAGCTGTTTCTCATTTGGAATCAAGGGAAAGCAGTACAAGAGCTGTTCAGGATGACAGGAACACCACTCAGCCATGCAGCCTCCCCTCCCTAAAAGTCCAAGAGTGTGAACTGGCAAAGCCCTGCTGTGTTTTTCCCCACTTAGAGGTAACGATGCTAAAGCAAGGCAGCAGCAGCAGAGAAGGGTTGCAGGAGAAGCTGCCAGGCAGTGGCAGACCAGGAGGAAGGACAGGAGGAGGGGAAAAGAGACATCCTCCTCAGATACAAGATCCTTCTAGTGATAGGGACATCTTGCATCTCTGAAGGGTATTGTATTTACTCGCCCTTAAAAACTGGAAGCTATACTAGCTGAAGATCTGATGCCTAGTTTTGCAAGTCAGTGATGGATAGAAGTGCACAGAGCTACAATTCAGGGCCCAAATCCATCTGTTTCCAATTCCTACTGAGCTGTCTCCGTGCACTAGTCATGCACTGTTTGCTAGAGGACTGGAAGTCACTGGAAGCTTGTGCTCTTCCCCTTCAATAAAATTGATATCAGAACTGTCAGGAACTCTTAGAATTGCTGATAATGAGCCTGACTTCCTCAGGGTTGTTTCCAGAATTACTCAGACTTCTCCTTCAAAACATTTCAGCCCTCTGTAATTTTAACAATCCTGCCTCCCCGCCCCCCGCCCCCAGCATTAACACTGGGATGGGATATAAGTAAAAATCATACAATTTCATGGGATAAGAAATAATTCTCTATGGTATCAAGTCACTGACAGAAAATGTTTTAGTTCCAGCAACAGTCATCGAGATAGTCAAAAATTTTAGAATTACCAAATGTTCAGAACAACAGCTTCTCAAGGGCTTCAAGGTCAGTCATGATATTTAAAAACAGTAATCATTCACAGACAGCATTTGGTACTTCTATTTATTTATTTATTTAGGTATTTTTATTCTGCCATTCCCAAACGGGCTCAGGGCGGATCACAACAAATCGAGTCAAAGATTCGTTACAATAAAATCACAGTTAAAATCATAAAAACAATAAACAATAAAATTGGTAGCAGAAATATAAATCTGTTGGGGCCACAAGATGAAATCAGATGGGCCCTTTCATCAGATTGGGAACTAAAGCAGGGAGGCCAACTGAGATGGACGCCCACCACCTCAACCAAAGGCCTGGCGGAACAGCTCTGTTTTGCAGGCCCTGTGGAATGATAAAAGGTCCCACAGGCCCCTAATCTCCAGAGGGAGCTGATTCCACCAGGCCGGGGCCAGGGCAGAAAAAGTTATAAAATCCATGGATATAACCTCCCAAGGGTGGCTCGGAGTAGGAAGCGGGTGTAGCAGTCCCGGGGGCTTCCCCTGCCTGGCTTTGCTCATGGCATATATCTGGCAGGATTGGACATACGAAGATAGATCCTTTCACATCGTTGGCCACCAAAATTGTCGGTTCAAAAGTTGAAACGATTTAACAAATCCAGGGTGTCCCGACAGTTTGGAGCAATGCACTGCTTGCAATACCTCCCCCCTGAGTGCTAGGGGGACGAATAGTTTATGTTCTCAGTACCAACAACCATCTTCCCTCATTTCAAAACCCCCCTCTGCTTGTAGAACAGCTTTGTTGGCCTCCGAGAACGCTGAGGTGAACTTACTGTCCATCCCCCCTTCTTCCTGGCCAGAAGGAGCGGGCTGTGTCGTCGCCGGGGGGGTGGGGGGTACCGCCCCGCCCAACTGGGAAGGCGTGAACACCGAGTCCAAGACCACCTCCCGTTGGCTATCGTGTTGGGGTAGGCGGGACAAGGCGTCGGACAACAAATTCGCTGAGCCTGGGAAGTGGTGCAGG